CCCCATTGGACCTGAGGGCAGGTCACGGGCTCCGCTGAAGGTGTCCCTGCTCCTGGGGGTGACTGTGGTTGAGTCCTGGGCAGTAAGCGAGGGGGGAGCCTAAAAGAGCTTCACTTCATCTCCAGTCAAAACCGTGGGGCAGGCTGCAGCCAAAGCCTCAGTCCCATAAGCACCTAAATCAGGCACCTCAGAGGCATGAAGCTGTTCAGGGACTAAGTGACCAGAGGGAGGTAGAGGAGGAGCGAGTACTGATGCTCTGGCTCGTTTTTTTTTTGTTTTGTTTATTTTTTCCCAATACTCCCAACCTGACTCTTTTTTTTTCTCCCAACCTGACACTTTTTACCTAATGCCATTGGCATTGTCACTTTGAGAATGATGCAAAAGGCACCATCAAGCTCTTCTAGCAATGACCTCCCACAGCCTGTGGACCCAAACTCTGCAGTATTGCAATAACCAATTCAAAGCAGAGTCTTTTCTTGATGTGCCTGTGGGTCATGAGAATTAGATGAAGTGCCGAAAGAATTTCAGTCCATGCAACATCCAGATCTGTTTTTGTAGGATCATAGGGCAGAAGGGCTGGAAGAGACCTCACATGGTTCTAGTCCAGCCTCCAGCTGGAGGCAGGATTTTCCCTGACTAAACCATCCCAGCCAAGCATCTGTCTAACCTGCTCTTGAAAGTTTCCCAGGATGGAGATTCCACAACTTCCTTAAGTACCTGTCCCAATGCTTGATCTCCCTCATAATCAGGAAGTTCCCCCTAATCTCCAGTTTAAATTTCCTCTGTGGCAGCTTGAGGCCATTGCTCCTTATCCTGTCCCCAACAGCCACAAAGAAAAGCCCGTTTCCATCTTCTCTGTAGCTGCCCTAAAGGCATTTGAAAACTGTCATCTCTTCTCTTATTTTCTTCAGATTAAACGACCTTAGTTCTTTCAGCCTTTCCTCATAGGTTTGGTCTTCCAGACCAGTGATCATTTCAGTTGCTTTCTGCGGTACTCTTTTCAGACTGTCCACATGCTTCTAAAGTGCAGGGCCCAAAACTGGATATAATCAGAGCCGGCCCAGGAATGCCATGGTCGGGGAATGCTATGCCCCACCCCAGGCTGGAGGAATGGTGCCCAGCCTATCCCCCACCTTCTACTGCTGCTTAGGAGTAGCTGGGCTAGGCACATGCAGGTGGGGTGGCACCTGCTCCAGTCCACCTGCCTTGCTTCCACATAACAGCAGCAGTGCCTGCTCATAGGGAAGCAAGTCATCTAATCCAGCCTAGCTTCTCCTACAGCATTATTTCTGAAGGTTTAATTGATACTACTATATACTTAAACTCAAAGAAAAAGATTGCTAAAATATGAGTTTGCCCAGGGCACTATTTTCACTAAGGCCAGTCCTGAACATAATACTCCAGGTGAGGCCTCACCAGTGCTGAATAGAGTGGAAGAATCACTTCCCTCAATTTGCAAGCAACACTTCTCTTAATACAACCCAGTGTGCTGTTGGTGATTTTGTGCAGCAAGAGTCCACTGTTGATTCATACTGATATTAAACAATCCTGGACCCAAAGCAGAGATCTGGGAAACCCCACCTGACACCTCCTCCCAACTAGACATTGAGCTGTTGAGGAATACTCTCTGAGTATGATGATTCAGCTAGTTGTTTTAAATGTTCCTTCACCTCTGAAATTGGAAGCATTTCAAGAACATAGACAAATTACTAGTTTGGCATCTTTACCATTATCGTCTGTTAGAACCCATGTAAATGACTGTCAATTTAGATGAAATTGTAGAGGGTGAAAGATGCTATGAATTTATTCTCTGATGGTAATGGTGTTTATATCCATTTTACAAGCAACATACCATTCACCTAAGATTAAAAATACTGGATGTTGGAATACTGAAGTTGTAGTAGAAATTAGTTGCCTGGATGACAAGACAACCTGATTTATAGATATGCTGTGAAATGTAAGCAAGAATCTGTATTATCTGTGGTCTGAAATAGTTAATTCACAACACAATACTTAAAATACACTTCCCAATACTTGGTTTACTGATACCCTTCTTTAAAGATGTTTCTGTTATTACTATTTTAGAGAGTTTTTTCATTGTCAGTAACTGATTTCAAATATATTCTCTAGTTTTCTGTACAAGAGTAAAAGAAATATTGTTTTGGGTTTATACCTAAAACTAATATTTCCCCGTTTTTCCTATTCTTCATCAGTGGGTCTATTAATTTAATAAGGTAGGTGTTGTTAATTAGGTGGTGTTAATTTTGAGGCTGATGTTTTTAATGAAATTCTTACATTTTCAGGACACAGCGTATGGTGTCATTCTTAACGTAATGCTTTTGAGCTATACCTCGTTGAGCAAAATTCACTTTCATGCCATTGGTGTACATAAGAGTAGGTAAATCCAATGCATGATACAGAAGGGAAAGTTACCAATAGGAAGGAAACATTGTTTTTAGGAAGGGACAGTGCAGAATTTCCATGTACAGCACGTGACATAAATTGGTGTATTTTGTTTTGTTATTAAAGTTTAAAATTTAGAGGAGGATTTAAAATGTTCTTTCAATGATGAAATACAAATGGCAAGCCCATTGCTCAGCTACAGTATTAGCATTCTAATACATAACATGAATATTGCTAGTTTATCTTTACAGAATTCTGTCTTACTGCAAAATATTCTAGCAATATATGACTTAATGGTAGTATCTTATTATTTACAATACTTCTGCCTTAGGTCCTGTTTTCTTCAGATCTGTGCAGCACATGGCAAGGAAAAATTGTAAATAAGATGCATTACTCTCTAGCTCTGAGGATCCTAATCAAGAGACTATTTATTTTATTAAGAATAACTGAATTCCTACACCATAAGCATGGAAATAGTCTTGCATTACCGACCAGGCCAGAATGACCAAACAGCATTGAGAAAAATTGCAGAAGAAGCAGTGAAGGAATTTCCTGTTCGGCAGCTCCCAAGATTTATACCTTGGTTTCCAGATGATTTGCGTGAACTTCCCCTTAAGCCTAAAAGAAAACCACCAGTTATTTCTGGTGAAGAAGCAGAAGAAATTAAACAACATCTTGGAGTGTCAGAACCCTTTATTCATTCTCCGTGTTATAACTGCACAGCAGACCTTCGGGAGTTTCAGCCTAACTTGAAAACTGGACAGACTTTAACCCAGGCACAAACTACAAACAGGCAGTTTGGTTCACACAATCCAGAAAAAGAATCTGCAAATGAAAAGCAAAAATTAAGGAGGTCTTGGAGTGTTTCTGTTCATAGATCTAAACATAAAGAAAAAATTCTTCCTTTATCTAGAGAACTGCAAAATAATTTAAAAAGACTGAAAATAAATGCTTTTCATAGAGCAAAATGGTTAATTGAGCATGCTATATGTAATAATCAGACTCTGGAGGATATTTGGATAAAACTGAACAAAATGATCAAGCATAATGAATTACCATCCTGCAATGCTACAATTCAGAGAGCTGTGGGCCAGATATGGGTTTTCTGTGACATATTGTACTCTGAATATGTTGGCAATATTCTTAGGGAGAGGTTAAAGCTTGCTGGGAAAATGAACTTGCTTGTACATAAATATGGAAGTATATTTAGTTTGTAACTTGGATTAAGTTAAACGGTAGTATTACTGTCTGGAACACTAGGTTTTGTTTTGTTTTTTCAAAAAAAATTTAAAATAAGCAATACGTGCTGAAGGACCTTAGAACAACTTATGAATTCATGAGCAGGACACTTATTTTAACATTATTCTGGTTACATTTGTTTCCTTGAATGTAATTTTGTTCAACTGTGAATGACATCACTGTATTTTGTAACTTAAATTTTTGCCCTCCCCTGTACATGAAGAGTCCATTTTCCGGGACTATTGCTTGTAATATCTGAACAATGAAATTGACACCTCTGAGTGAGAAAGACCTCTGCTTCACAATTGAAATTAGGGGAGCCGGGGCGGCAGGGAAAGAGAGCAGGAAGGAAGAACAGACCTTTACATTGTGAAAATCGTCTACTTCAGAGAGTGTTTAGTCTTGTCCCAGAGGCCCAAGATGCTGACTCCAGGAAAGAACTTTTACTTGAAGGAACAGCCCTAGTTTTAAATGTGAAATTTCTTGTATTCCACAAAAACTTTGTTACCTCATACTCATTGTGAATTATTTGCCTCAAATATTGCATAATAATAATAAAAATTCTGAGGTTAGAGAAGTTTTTAATGCTGGAGTAATAAATGTTTTCACTTCTGTTATTTTATGCCTTTTTTGCCAGTATCTTTTTTTCCTGCTTTCTCTGCTTTTGGATATGTCTTACATTGGGGCTTTTATAATTATGGTGCTGAAAAACAAGGAAGTCCTAGGTTAATAGATACTAAAATTCCTAATGTCAGGTTGGTAAATTAGTAAATCTTGATTTATTAGTAAATCTGTGAAACTGTATGTGTTTGTAACATTATTGTCTTCCAATATGAGAATAAGTGCTTTGGTAAATTAATCTGCTTGGATGGAACATAGTTTGCTGCTGTATGAGAGAACAGACCTGACTTCTGAATTTTACTCTGCTCTTAAAAGTTTTGCTTCAGGGGTCTGACACACAGAATTTATACGGTGAGACCTCAGCTAGGAATTTGTCACTGCTAATTGTCTTAAGAAAATCTGTCTCCTTGGTGGAGATGAGGGCCAATGGGAGGCAGGGAAGTATGTTAGAGATCTACCTAACTAAGGGTATAAAGCAGTGGTTTTCAACCAGGGTGTCCCAAGCTCCTTAGAATGATGCTTTGGTGCCTGGCCCCTGTGAAAAGAGGTGAGCACTGGCTCACCCCTATGCTGGGCACCCTGTGCCTGCCCAGTATCCTAGCAGTGCTCCGTGTGGCCCCTACCATCAGCTCTGGAAGCATAGGAGGTATGGGAAATGAGCTGAGCTGATAAGCACAGTCTTCACCCCCTGGCTGCCCCCACATGAACCACTCCCATGCTGTGAGTGGCATGTTCTGCCACAGGGCCATGACCCTGCTCCTCATAAGCTCCCACAGCAGATGAGAGGAGCTGTGGGGAATAGTGGTTCCAGTAGATCACCCATAAATCAGGTCTCCAGAAATAAGAATGACTTAAAACTCCTGCGATCCTCTTTGTGTGTGTGTGTGTGTGTGTGTAGACACAGATATGTATACACACACATTTATATATAATGTTTGTGTGTATCTACATCTTGGATCTTTTTATCTTCTGCTTGATTTTTTGAGTCTTGAAGGTTTACATTTTTAGCTTTTCTGTACAGGTAGGGCTAGAAACTTTTCAGTGAAAGCTAAGATTCTCTTGTAGTTGCAGAAATCTAGGAATTGCAGCTTCTTAAGGAAGGTATCAAATATTATGAACAGTATTACAATACTTTTTGTATAAGAGGACTATATCTAGATTTTGAACGTTTTGGGGAAAATTTAGTTGGACTTAATAAATATTTTATGGTTGATTAGTTTTATAAGAGAGCCGCTGCTTAGGTTTCACTGCTGATTTACATTTTACAGTGATACGGCACATGAATTTCTCACTGCAGGAGAAAAAAATAAATAATAATGATAATGCTGGCTCCCCAGAGAGAGCCTACAGTCTGTGGTGCTGCATCCTGGCTGTGTGGCCTGCTGAGGGTAGGGGGTGCCAGTTAGACAGAGATGTGCAGAGAGTGGCACCTGTCACAGGGGCATGCAGGCAGTAGATCCTGGCTCTGCTCTACGCTCAGCCAGGATGGGGCTGTGGATGGGCTGGAACTAAGCAGCTGGGATCCCTGCCTAAGTGGCAGCAGCCCACAGAACCCAAACAGTAAGTGGCAGCTGGGATCTGCAGACGCAGGGCACATGCCAAGCCAGTGGGATCGGCCACATAAGGAGTTCTGGTGAGCTGTTGTAGGGGTGAGGGTGCTGACCAAGCCTGCAACAGCTTGCAACAACTTGCTTTGTGGCCCACAAGCCCAAATAATTGCCACCCCTGATTTAGTATTTGTGTTCTAGATTCCATCCCTTATTTTTTCATTTGAGAGACAGTATGTACTGATCAGTACAATATAGATCAGGGCTAACTTCTAGGTGGCTCGGGGCTGCGCCCTGCACAGACCATGCCACGTGGGCCACAATGCAAGCTGCAGGCATCCCCTTCCCTTGCACTGCTTGTGCAGGTGACCCCCACTACTAGGTGACATGCACAGATGCTTTCCCTCTTCCCCCACCACTGCTATACCACATGCATGTGCAGCCTCCCCCAGCTCACTGGCTGTGGGCTCCTCCACCGCAGAAGAGCTCCTTGCTGGGCTGCATGTGGCCTGCAGGCCACCACGTGGACAGGCCTGATAAGCTGAGGATGGATAATTCATGTAGCATAATTTAAAACAGCCATGCCAGTGTAATTTTCTGGTTAACTTTTTGATCATAAGTAAATCTTGCTAATTTAGTCTCTCATTATTGGCAGAGTGGTTTTGGCCCTAGGCTGTTACATTTTCATTATTATTTTACAAGGCTGATTAAAAGTGTGCCAACGCAACAAACCAATTGCATGAAATGACTTAATTTCTTGAATTTATAATTCCCTGTTGCATACGTTTAGAGAGTTAGAAGTCCTGCTGAATATGATTCTTGTTATCCTCTCCCTCCTTCAAACAGATATTTAAAATGAGAAATAACAAGCACATGAAGACTTTAACAAAAAAAACTATTATGTATTTTTGAATTCATTTTAGTCTGTTTGCATGATCCTCTTATTTTCTGAATTTGCAGTGATGAGGTTAACGAAGCCCACTTTATTCACCAATGTTCCAGTGACTTGTGAAGAAAGAGACTTGCCAGGTAAATTTTATGATCTTGTGCTAAGTACCTGTGTGTGTATCACTATAGGTGTGCAATCTGATATACTCAACATCTTTTTTAAAAGTAGTTTCATCCCCAAAGGAGACAAATATATCCTAGTTCAAATATTACCCATGGAAGGGAAGAAAAAAGGTAGGAAGGTATCAAGAAATGGTAAAGAATGTTGACATTCAGTTCATGCTTAAGACACTGAATGCAAAAGAAAAAGATTGAGTTATCCCAAAAGGAAGATATGAGACTTTTACACTATAGACCACTGGATCCCAATCTACCAGTACATCTCAGAGCCTCTTGTGGTAGATCTCGGAACCTCTTGGAGTTGATCCAAGATTGGGCTGAGGCGCTGAGTTCCCATATGCATGCACACACATGCCCCAGCCCAGCAGGTCAGCCTGTGGGGAGGGAAGGGGCAAGAGCTAGATCAAGGCCTCCATGATAAGGGGCAGTGCAACAGAGGCAGGAGCAGGGGTAAGTTGAGCGGGGCCCTGGCTGGGCAGGACTTGCCTGCTGGGGAGGCATGCTCCCAAATAATTTTTTCTCCCTCAGCCTCTATCTGCACCCCCCCCACTCCCTTCCCCTCCCCACAGACTTACCTGCTGGGGGGGAGCAGGGTGGCAGCAGCTCATGGTAGATCTTGGGTTGCTTTTAAATGCCAATGGTGATCTACTTAAAGGTTGGAGACCACTGCCATAGATGCTTTGTGACTTCCTAAACTGCAGTCAGTCTACAATACAAGGCCAGATAAAACTATGAAGTTCACCAGAATTGCTTTAGGCTTTGGAAGCTTGGTGTGTAAATGGTAAATGTGTGCACTTAGTCTGCACAATTAGAAAGAACGTAATAGCCAGTGGAGATGTGTAGTAGCTTTTTAAAATGGCAGAAGGTGGAAAGGTTTCAGGGAAGTTCACACTGGGTAGAAAATGAAAACGTGTAGATTTAACCAACCTCATCAACATACCAGGCAGGACTTCCAAAAATTCTCTTTGATACCAAGGGAAGCAGAATTTGAATAATACCAAAAGCTTTGAAAATCCAACCCAGAGAAGGAAATATGGTAGAGAAAGCAAGTTCTCAAAGCCTTTGTCACCCCTAAAGATCATTCTTTGTTGGCTGTTGACCCAGTATCCAGGTTTGTTCGTCTTGAATTCTCCAGAGAAGCTTGATATTTTATTTAAGGTTAAACCACTATCTTTTTGGCGTGATGAATAAACTGTTGCTTACATCTAGCATGAAAGGTGTCATTTTAAAGTCTAATGATTCTACACAACAGCTTTTGCTATAACAAAAGTTATACTTAAGATCCCCTTGCACACTGGTGTTCATTTATAATTTAATTTACAAAATAAAAAATACCCACACTTCACACCTGTTCAGCTATTCAGCCAGTCCTGTACACATTTCATAGTTTGGCATGAATGTAATTCAAGAAACATAAAAGAATTTCATGACGTGATTCAGTCTGTCCTCTGTTTTGAGGTCACTGAGGAAAAACTCATTAACTAAGCAACCATAGATTAGCAACATGCAAAACCTAGTGCAGTTTCATTACCAACATCTAAATACATGAAAAAAAATTGTAATTTTAAGGGGGTAATAATTTAGTTTATGCAAGTATTTTTGACCTGTTCATTTTTTTTATGTTTTACAGGAGATCTATTTAATCAGCTTATGAAAGAGGACCCTTCTACTGTAAAGGGAGCAGAAATTTTGATGCTAGGAGAAATGCTGACTTTGCCTCAGAATTTTGGGTAAGAATAAAATATAAAGCTGTGAAGTATGGATATTCCTGCTACTTGAATTCTGGAAATTAGATTTGCTAATACACTTATTTCTCTATTTTCTCGCTTACAACACGCACCTTTTTCCCTAAAATCACACCCCCACCCCTCAGTTAGGATGCATGTATTAAGTGAGGAAGCCAGTTTTTCTGGTCAGAGAGTACCACCCAGTTTTGAATTCTGCTCCACCATGTAACTACTGTTGCATTCCTATTCGGGCAGCTGAGGGAGGCGACTGACATAATGGCTCATTGTTAAGAACTCCAGAGTTAAGAGCAATCATCTTTCTTTTTTAATGGTCTTGGTGTTCCATTAATCAGGCTGACCTTAGGGCAGGTCTGCTATCTGCTAGCTGTTCTTGATCTCTCTCCTCCTATTTCACAGACTTGAAGAATCTTTGGATCTCTTCAGAATCATAAATCTATCCATGGCAACCAGTCTTTAGGGACAGGGGTGGGCAAAATACAGCCTGTAGTCCAGATTTGGCCCACCAGCTGATTTGGATCTGGCCTGTAGGCAGGCACCCAATTCATTGCATCTAGCCCTGCCTGCAGTTACACCTACTGCACTCTGCACAGGGCCGAGTCCTGCCTGAGGCAGCATATGTTGCACTCCCAGCCTCCCCCACCAGAGGGTACCAGCCCCACCAGCAGACACAGCTTTGGAGCAGGGGTGCTGCTGCCCAGAGAACTGCTGGGTTCCCCCAGCCTTCAGTGACTCCTCTTCCTGTCCCTGCTGTAGCATTTAGAGCAGCAGGTAGGAAGGGGAAGATCCAGGGTTGACAGGATTTGGGTGGGCTCTGCCTGCAGCTCACTGGTCCTGCTTGTACTGGGCAGGGGAGCATGTGGATGGAGAGGTGGGGGGCATGAAGAAGCTCAGCTGCTCACAAACCCCCAACAGGCAGGCACAGGACAGGCAGAAAGGGGTTGGGGAACAGCAGCAGGAGCCAGCATGCACTTGGTGCAGCCCTGCTGGGTGGGCACATGAAAGAAGCAGCAGGAGCCAGCGCAGGCTCATCTGCAGCCCCACTGGGTAGGTGTGGGACCAAGACTGAGAGCTGGCGGTGCCAGGCTCAGCTTCCTGTCATTTTCCCCCTCACCTTGCAGGGGCTTCTGTTGCTGCTTGCCGGTGGCAACTGCTTTCCTGCCCTTTGTAGCGCACTGCGAGCCAGGCAGGCAGTCTCAACCTTTTTTTTTCCCCCCCATCCCCTCTCCCTACCCGCAGAGGGGCTGGACTGACACACATTGCAAAGAGCAGGCAGGGGGAACCCCCCCCACACACATGCACCCGCACCCCTTACACACCCCACCTCCCACCCTAACCACACACATCCCACACACATACACCCACACCCTGACCCCCACCATACCAACACCCATACCTACATGGACACCACACATCCCACATCTACATGTATACCCACACACATCTTCCCACACATGCTTACACACCCCCTCACACACCCCACCCCTTCATCATACCTGCACACATCCAACACTCCCACACACCCCACACCTGCACCATGCCCACACACAAACACCCTACACACATCGCATTCCCCACCATACCCACACACACCCAGCAGTTCCACATACACCACACCTCAACCATACCCACACCCCACTCCTACAGCTCTGCACCATATCCATATCCCCCCTACCCCTCCACACGATATACAAGCAACTCTCCCCCCACCAAAAGAGTACTTCCTGGGCAAGGGGAGAGACTTCTAGTGGCAAATAGGGTTAGGGGGTAGGACTTACAGTCACAAGATGGCAACTAGGGGGTGGGGCACCTGTCAAGGGGTGGGGCTACCCTTGAGGCCCTTGACAGCTCCCCAAAACTTGTTAAGCAGCCCTTCAGCCAAAATAATTGCCTGCCCCTGCTTTAGGGGCATCTAGGGTTTCAGGTTAGGACGAGTCAGCTGAAATTAGTTTCCATCCCTGCTCTTTGCAATCATAATTCTGGAAAACATCTTTTTTTCTTCATTCTGTCTTTCGAAAACAAGATGTATATTGTATTTCAGGTTGTATTGTATGCGAGAAAATACAGTACCTTCCTTTCCTTCTCTGTCTTGCAGTGTAAGGTAGGAGTAAGGTAGATAAATATTTTGTGTTGTTAACTAAACAAGCTAAAAATCATACAATACTAATGCTACTGTAGTGTAGTCTGCCTACATGTCACTGTCTGTGTTTGCAAAATATACCTGCCTCTGTGTAATAGGGTCTGGAGAGTCCAGCAGGATGTGCAGCTACTTCAGACTTCTAGCCAAAATATAATCTTCATAGTACTCACTTTACTAAGGATTTACCTTCAGTAGAGAAATGTGGACCCCTTTGCAAGCCCCTGAAGTGGCTGTATCAGTCTAAAGCAAGATTTAATGCAGTTTTCTCCAGAGATTTGTAGACTTCAGTTGCATAGATGCAAGCCCTACTTATGTACTAGTACAGCATGGATTCATAAAGGGTTGGTAGGAGAGCACTTCTGTGTAGAGGTCATAGCAGGATTTGTGCTATAGTTCAACAGATGCCCTAACAGATTGATCATCTTAGGGTTTTTTTGTTTTCAGAGGTTTTCTTTTTTTAAGATGGAATAAAAAAAAAAATCAGATGGTACAGCAGATGGATAGCTTCACTATTTATAAGTTTGTTTTGGCCTTGGACTGTGCTAAGAAGGAGTTGCAAACATTTCCTGTTATCGCTAGATCTGGTTCAGATCCTTTGAGGTAGCAACATAGCAATTTCTAGAGCAGGGATGGCCTGAAATCAAAACAGCACATCAATTAGGCATGTTCTGAGCAGGGTTGGATCAGACGGTTCTTAAAGGCTAGGGACATTCAAGGCTAGGCTCTGTTCCATGCTGTGGGGGGTACTCTTTCCCCCCACTCCTCCCCCTACTACCCCCAGGGGCTGAGCGAGGCTGTTTGGCCCTGGAGGGGAACCCCTCCTCCCCAGTGTGGAGCAGGACAGGAGGCTCTATTCAGTGTTGAGGGAGGAACTTTTCCCCTTACTCCTCCTCCTGTCCCCCACTACTGCAAGGTGGAAAGGGAGGGCTCTGTGTGGCACTGCCCGTCCCAGCTGGGACATGGGGAGCAGCTCTAACAGAGTTGCAGCTACCGGGGGGGTGGGGCCCTGCCCCTGCGGTCTGGACTAGCCTCACTGAACCCCAGCCAAGGCAGCTGCATGATGGGGCCAGGCTGTGCTGGGAGGGCCACCCCCGGCAAGTGCAGTGCAGTGATGGGGGTGCAAGCGGAGCAAGTGCAGCCAAGCAGCGGCTTACCATGTCAGCAAGTGAAGCCCGGCGGCAGGCAGCAGTTTACTAAGGGTGGCTTAGAGATGCTATGGGGGCTCATGGGGACATCAGTGAGCATCTGTGGTGGGCGGCTGCCAGGCTCTGGGCCCCCATGGCACCTCCAGACTGGCCCGGGTAAGCTTACAATGGACAATGCTGTACAGGGTCCCCCCGCCCCTGCCCTGCAGGGGCAGAGGGAGGAGGAGGGGGAATAGTTCCTGCCAGCACTGAACAGAGCCCCCCCTTCCCTCCTTATGGGGGGTGGGAAGAGTCCCCTGCTAGGGCCGGGCAGCCTCACTAACCCTGGGGGTGGGGGTGGAGGAGGGGGAAGAGTAATACTCAGCATGGAACAGAGCCCTGCTTCCTGCCCTCGGGGGGGGGGGGGGGGGGGGGGGGGC